TTCTTTCTCCTAAAGTTTAATGATGAATTTTATTTTTTATAAAGTACAGCAATTCATAAATTCATGGTGAGCCAAGTATATATTTTTATAGTGGGTTCTATACTGATAGATACTTAGAACAAAAGATAGAACATAAGTTTAGAATTTCATGTTTACCATATATATAATCCAAACTGGTTTCTACATTCTTGATGACGTTGCATCAAGAATGCATATTATTGCCGAAACCGATTTGGCTCAGTGGATAGAGCGTCGGCCTGTGGACTCAAGGGTCCCGGGTTCGGTTCCGGTCAAGGGCATGTACCTGGGTTGCGGGCACATCCCCAGTGGGGGATGTGCAGGAGGCAGCTGATCGATGTTTCTCTCTCATCGATGTTTCTGACTCTCTATCTCTCTCCCTTCCTCTCTGTAAAAAAAATCAATAAAATATATTTTAAAAAAAGAATGCATATTATTTCTTATTGAGAAATAATCTTTATAACCATTTTTTCATTTCCATAGTTAGATCACTTATGAATTCTTAGCAGCGTGGAACCAATTCAGTCCCTCAAAGTTTCCTGAGATTTTATTCTAATTGCTACTTTCAGCCAAAACGTCTTTTAGCGCACAATCCTGATGAGCTCTCTGGGCAAATACGGACAGTGTGGCATTTCATTCAGTCTCTCTATAAAAGGGATAATTCGCTATGTGATAAAAATGGAGGTGTTTCACTTAACCCAGGACGAAAAGGTCTGCCTCATCCTAACCACCCCGACTTCACTAAAAATATTAAACCTCACTTTGAAAAATTGTATTCATTATGTTAATAAGTGAGCAAATGAATCACCAAAAATGTTAATCTAATACCTAATTGATGGTATTACAAATAAATTGAACATTCCCTGTGCCTCATGAATCTCAAACCCAAAGATCTGCTCTTAACTCAGGTCCATATTTAAAGTAATAATCATGGGGACTCTATGAATAACATGCTTAAAAGTGCTTCCCCAAAAGAATACAGTGGGGCCTTGACTTACGAGTTTAATTCGTTCCGTGACCGAGCTCGTAACTCAAATTACTCGTATGTCAAATCAAAAAGTGAACGAGTGAGACACGTGATGCTGGGCTGATGTTGTGGCGTTCACTGTGACGTTCGCTGCGCCAACTAGCGGTGGGGTATCTGAAGCTGGCTCGTAACCCGAATTTTAGCTCGCAACTCAAAGCAAAAAATCAGTGGAGAGACGGCTCGTATCTCGATAAACTCGTTAGTCGGGACACTTGTAAGTCAAGGCCCCACTGTACTGAAATTACTTTTCCCATTAAAAATTCTATGACAATTTCTCTTCCTTCTTCCTAAGAAAAAACTAATTTAAATTTAATAAATAATTCAGAAATCTAATTTGCCAAAGGTCCTAAAGAGAACAAATGGATATTCCACTTGGAATGAGGAAACCTAATGAGAAGGTATTCACCTGCGTAATTAATAGGCAGCCAAATGTCTGACACAAGCTCTGCCATCGGTTCAGGCTGTCAGTCCCACCCTGAAAACAAGGCCCAGAGACCCTTGGCTTTCTCCTGCTCCTCTTGACTTCACGGAGAGGTCTTCCCAAATGTTCTTACTCCATTCTTTTCAATACTCCACTTTCCCAAGGGCCCAGAGGAGAACAGTTCAGAAAGTGTGATGTGACATTCCTTAAGCTCTAAACACAAATGTGTTTATAGAATAGAGAGAAAACCGGTTGTGGGTTAACCAGTGAGAAATTTTTTATAAAGAGAATTCTACGATGGCCCCAAGAGTCCTTCTGCACATGCACTGTACAATCTCCTCCCCTTGAGTGTGACTATGAAGGGATTATTCCTGTGATTATATTACACCACATGGCAGAAGGGATTTTGCAGATGCAATTCAGGTCACTCATCCGTTGGCAGTTTACCAAAGAGAAGCCATTTTAGATGGCCCCAGCCTCATCAGACGAGATCTTCAAAGTCATGGGGCCCTTCCTGAAAAAGAGATTCAGAGGATGAGAGAGGTTCTCCTGCTGGCCTCACAGGGGGCACACTGCCATGATAAAGAGAGGACCATGTGACAGGGCAGGCAGCATCAAGGGTATGAGAAGGGATCCCAGTTGGCCAACAGCAAGAAAGTGAGAACCTCCATCCTACAACCATAAGGAACTGAATTCAACCAACAACCAATGATTTGAGGAGAGTTCCCCAATCTCCAGGAGGAAATTGAAACCCTAGCCAAAACCTTGATTTCAGCCTTGTGAGACCTTAAGAACAGGATCCAACAAAAACATGCCTGGACTCCTGTGTGATCACAGAAAAGTATATATGTTCGTCTCTGCCCCCGGTACCTGGCACAGAGCTCCTAAAACCCTTGTGATTTTCTAAGTGATAAGAGCACTGGGAGCATATTTTGTTCTAATATATGGTTTTTGACCTCAGTTGCTGACACAGAGTTCCTTAAGCCCGTGTTTTGTTCCTTTCAAACAACCTGTTTTTATCAGCAGGGGTTTTGCAGTATTTCTTCCCTCCCCATGTTGAAAGGGTAAAATCACTGTGAACCAATGGCCATGACGAGGTGCTGTGTGTCTGTCAGGGAGTGTACACAGGTCTTGGTACCAGTGAAAGCAGTGTCTGTCCCTACATTTTAGGCGCTCCTTGACCTGAGAAGGCACATGTCTCTGAAGGGACTAAGCAAGAGTAATTCTATGCCTATTGCACACACACACAAAAAAAAATGTGGGAGGGGATGTATTAGATAACTTACAAAATATTAAAACACAAGGCGACAATTAAAATTTTAAATGTAATATTTTAAAGAACAATATGTGCCCTTAGCATGAATTAAGCAGTAAAATTGAACACGCATTTGATCATGAGTTTTCTGGTAACCAAAACAGAAAAGCAAAAGAAAGCTAGAAAGTTTTCCTCTCTCAAAAATCAAATTGTATGAGGCAGACCCTTAACAATGAGAAAAGAAAGGAGCAGCTGTGATTCCTACAAGTTTAATTAAAGCAGCCCTAGAAATTAGTAAAATGACAGGTTAGTCTAACAATATTGTTTTATTACTCTTATAAAGGTATTTCTAAAGGAACTATGAACACACACACACCATCAAGAACATTATTTTCTGATCACCTAATATAATAGAGTCAAATAACTTAGAAACACTAGAAGAACAGGTAAATATAATGCCCACAAATCTTTTTTTCACATTTTTCCTTTCTCTCTCTCTCCCTTAACAGACTTTGCAAGCAAATTTCTGGCAAGTGCTGAATTGCAATCAAATCACACTGACAAGTACTAAAATGCCAGTCTTCTGTGTTGTTGAGGGGAGGAAAATACATATGTTTTAGATCTCAGACATGCAGATGGTACAATTGAAAGTGTTGGGAAATTTTAGGAACCTCACTTTTATTCTTGCCAGAGACAGAGCATATCCTATTTTCTCAGGGAAGCTACCAGAACCACACTATTTTTTCTCAAAAACTAGCTTTGGATCTAGTCATAAACTAAAAAAAGAAAAAAAAAGTGCTTTGTTGATAAATCTGTATGATAATCCATGTTTAAAAATGTCACGTCTGGAGTTCAAAGAACTGTTTTTAATTCCAGCTCTGGTAGCTACTAATAGCCCTGGACAAGTCACTGTCTCAGAGTTTCTGCTTCCACATCAGGAATGATACCCACTTTTCAGAGTTGTTTTGAATAAAGAAAATAATGTAAATAAAGTGCTCAGCATAGTGTAAGCACTCCATAGATGGCGCTACTGCTGCTACTGAACGTGCTCAAGCTTCAACTTTCCCCTCTCCAGCCACCCCCTCACCCCCCACCACACCGCGTCAGCCCCTCTTCTCTGCAGCACCCCCTGTCTGCAGAGCCCTCCTTCTCCAGCCTTGTGGGCCAGCTGATGGACAGAACAAGCGCCCTGGGAAGAAACACAGAAGAAAAGACAGCGTCTCTTTGTTAATAGCTGAACAAGCCTTAATATAAATTCTGTTAAAAGTGGGGCTGGAGCCCTACCTGGTTTGACTCAGTGGCTAGAGCGATGGCCTGTGGACTGAAGGGTCCCACGTTCGATTCCAGTCAAGGTCACATGCCTGGGTTTCAGGCTCTATCCCCAGTAGGGAGCATGCAGGAGGCAGCCAATCAATGATTCTATCTATCTCATCGTTGATGTTTCTATCTCTCTCTCTTCCTTCCTCTCTGAAATCAATAAAATATATATATATTTTTTTTATTTTTATGTTTTTAAAGAGTGGGGCTGGAGAGCCCTGGATGGGTAGGTCAGTTGGTTAGAGCGTGGTCCCCATAGGCCAAGGTATTTGGTTGGGGAGGGATGGTATTTGGTTGTGCTGGGATCCCATACATGCCAGGACATTTAGCATACCTGCTCCTGAGACACTAAATGCCAGTTGTACCTCCCATTCATTGTGACAACCAAAATGAGCCCCTCTGTGGTTCCAAATATCCCTTAGAGGGTGCCCCACAGTTCACTGAGAATCGCTGGCTGATGGTCAGATGGTCTTGCTGACAATAGTTCATCAACAGTTATCATTCCTTCTTTTAACGTTTTTGATAATAAAGAAGCCAAATACTTTCATGATATTTCTCTTTTGAGGA